ACTGAAGATAAGAAGGCGATACGATGTCAAGGGTGTACTTTGATGCTGGCTATCTTTAAGGTACAGACACCCTGAAGATAACCATTCTTGTCATAATACACGTCGTCCTTAGCGATAACGAAAGACCGACTTGGGAAAGCTTCCGAGCCTGTCTGAAATTTTTCACTGAAGATGCGCCAGTCAACAGTAGGATATGTCAGTAGACACGACCTGAATTTCTCTAAGAAGTTATGAAGAGCGTCCGAATATGTCGACCTGTGTGTATGTAAGATTTTTAGCTCTTACAAAATTTCGAGACACGAGAAGCGCTGTAAATGTAAGAAGACGTCATGCATATACGCACTTATAGAAGACTCTTGCTGTTTTCCAGATGAAAAGTGGATGCTCGTAACTGTTACGCGACAGTACGTAACATGAAGGCATATATATGCGTTCATAAAAAGTCATTCTAAAATCGCTGGCACCGTGCATAGACTACATCGGAAATCATTCATTCATTCATTCATTATAAAAGAAAGATTTCATAAAAGAAAGATTTAGTATCGTTGATGAAATATACGCTTTCCTTTACTCGAAATTTTTCGAAGTTTGCATCTTCTTCACGCTGCCATCGTATTAGTTTTTTGTGTCTATAAAGAAAAATATGAAAGCGCATGTCACGAGGAAACGCTCGCTGAATTATCGAGACCTATCTTCAACAATTTGCAGCAGTTACAGTTTTTCCAGATGTGTTTCTGCATACAGCGTTGCGGAAAATTATGAGGCGAGAGCAATTGTTATTTAGAAGACTAAGTATTTTTCAGGACCGCGGCTTTTTGCTTAATTAGCAGTAGCCTTTTAACTTCGCTTCGTTATCTTTGCAGTGAATCGTATGTATATCATGATGGTACAGCCCATCAACCTTTCCACAATGGGGTTCTATTTTATTTCGTTATAAGGGCCGTCAAGGGTTTTTTTTCTCATATACTTAATTATAAACTTAGTAATAATCAGCTCAGCTTTAGAGCTGAGCTAGACATTCATTGTCAAACATTCACCATCGTAGGGTTTATGAGAGTTAAGAACAAGCATGAATTATCGAGGTATGAATGCAAGACTCGTCCATCTTCACGACTCAAAGGCCACTAAATTTAATCGTACAATCATACTATCTGAGCTATACTAGTGAACTTTTCCTAGCTGTTCCTTTAGTGCAAGTTTATGGGACAGCAGATCAACCTCGTGAAGCTTCAGTTTTGTAGAACCTACACAGGCTAATGATGTTGAGAAATTGGCCATGTGACTTTTGTAAGACAAACCCATTGGATTGAAACCCATTGGACACACATCACAGACTAGATATCCGAATCTGGTTGACGCAGTAAAAAAGGTATCGGAAAGATTTAAACCCGCAGGTCATTCAGGCAAGCATTTGAAGGGAACAAAGATTACATCCAAACGAATTCTTTGTGGATGCTTGCGGTCAGTTTACTGCAATGAACACCGGTGCCCCACCAAGCAGATGTGTATTGGCGTATCCACATGATTTCTTTCCTGAAGTTTTTAGTTGAGGTTCGATACGAAGTGTGCGGGTGACTGTCTGACGTGGAATCAGTTGAACGCTAGTCCAGAACTTGTTCCATGTAATGGAAGTACGATGATGGTTAGCCATTAGAATAACACAAAAAAGCCGAGTCCTATTCATTGCTTTATGCAGAAAAATGAATCTATTCACGTAATCCACGAATGCAAATTATTGCTACCATTGTGCCTCGCTAGGATTATAATACGGTCGTGATCGTGGTCGCACCAGTCTCGTTGATTTATGATTTTGCCCTAGCAGATGCAAAATTCTGCCCAGGGGTTGATCTTCTATAGACGTGTTATCCGTTCCCCCCAGTTGGCTGTCTTTTTCCCAGCGTATTTAGTACACAAAATCGGCAAACTGTCGAAAATTTTTTTATACAGTTGTGGTTCCTCATTAAAAAACGGACTGTGTGAAGTCTTACGAACGACACCGGCTCAATTATCATAGCACAGTTACTGGGCTGTTTTTAATATCATTTTTTACATTAATCAGCAAAAATTTTTGAGTATAGTACTAATGGCCAATATATATATAGCAGTGAGTAGACTGACCTGACTTGTCAATAAGACCCAACACTGTTTCCGCCGATCCGGGAGAGTTTACTAAAATATGTGATATTGATGCATCTGAATTTTTTTTCCACGTTATGTTTTAGCGATGGAAGATATGTCTTTTTAGTTTATGGCGTATATAAACTATGAGTATGTAGTAATGATAATGTTAAATCTGCGTGTTTAGAACTAATTTCCTTGACTTCTATTCGCCAATATGGGTTTATCGAAACTCAACACGGGATAGCAGCTAACATCTGTTGGCAAAACAAATGTATGGGTTTGGAACTATTATTTAGAATCCGTTCGCCTTTATGACAGAGAGACGATGTAGGCTAGTCGATTGGTGAGATTATATCATAAGGTTCAGTATTACCAACCGTATCTCATGAGAAGTGTACTTGTTCAGGCCGTGTACGGAACACCGCCGGAGGCCGTACTCCAAACAGAAAAATCATGTTCTCAATCAATCTGGTATATGACGTACGTCTGCATTTAGTTCGCCAAAAGCCATCAAATATTTGCACGCACTGGGCACAACAGGCAAACCTTTAGCTCCATTACGATGTATCTATTCACACTCTAGTCTGTATCTATTTATATACTTTGGGCTAGCTAAACATATAAACGGAGTAAATATATTGACGATATGGGATATATCTTTCTTCATCGCTCCAATTTACACCACTATCAGCCTGCCTCTGACAGATCTTATAGCTATAAAACTTACTAATTAATCTTTTGTTCATAGAACGGCAATCCCAGTTCTAGTAGATGATTAATCGATAGTTTTGCCAATTTCCAGAGGCGGTTGCATCCATTCTGAAGATGTTTGAATGCGCTCTAGCGTCTTTCCCTTTCAAATGAACCCTTTTCACGGGTTCGTTTTAGACAAATCCAAATGGCCTTCCATAATCCCAATACAAAAAACAAGCGAGAAGAGCGGCACACTTTCCGTAGATTGATGAAACTACGTCAATTGTTGCCATCTACTATTTCAGTTAATTTTTCGTATATCGTCTTTTGTGTGTTAAGATATTTTGTGGGATAATAATAATAATATAGAGTGGTGTACAATAGTAGTTTAATAGATGGCGCTAGAAAGCGCCCGAAACTGTGCTTCCAAGTAATCTCTAAAACGAAATAGATAATTCCGTAATGCACATATGTACTGTTGAGGATAACTTTTTTTTTGCGGTATGCTGCTCTTGACAGCTGTGAATTGTTCTCAAGAAGCTTAAATTACCATACTTAGTAGTCAGCCGTTAACTCTGAGTTACTGGTTATTTTTACAGCGACGTTTTCTTTAATCGACAACCCAATACCATCTGTAAAGCCTCTGCGCCCCTTTCGTTCTGCTTTTATATTCTTATATGTAAAACATAATAAGCGTCGTTCCCGTGAACAATAGTGCAAAGCCCTGTAAAGCAGCGTTCGATCGTGTCACTATAATATGTATCGTAGAGCTAACGTACAGGGTGCTTCGTTTATACAAACTACACCGATACCTATCTAGGTAGGGCAGGTCGTTGCTCGAGGCAAACCGAATCAATAATCATAATAGACTGAGGAGCTCAGTAACTTTGGACAACGTTGGCGAAAGCGCCTGTTTATAGAGAAACGAGAGATCCATTCAAATGCGCCGAACGATAAAACGGCAACTAGTTAAAGTCTCTCCGTAGCGCCATGAGTTATAAAAGCATCAGACGTTTCATTACCCCATATACTAACCCTCAAAAGCACGCCGCATCTTACTTCTACGAGCATACGCTGGATGTAACAGGTCGAACGCTAATCCAATATCCTATTCGTGTCATTGCTGTCAGCAAGGGCCAAAGTCGACTACGCCGCCACCTACGCCGCCGCCGACGAAATATAGTTCCACGTTGCATATAATAACGGCTTTTATCAGTAGCCACCATATATCGTTTGGCTATATTTTCCCTATTGGCTTCCTCGCGATGGTTCATCAATGCATATTGCGACCGTGTACATAGACAAACAGTACAGCTTAAATTGGCGACCACATAGAGACATGTCGTCTTATAACAACAAAATTTCGACCACAAGTAGATATTGTGGCGTTTGCTCGTTAATTGCAGAGCAAATATCAAGTAGAGATTATGAGATTCAGTAGACGGTTCGAGTTTTGCGTCCGGGACAGGCGACTGCGGCTGACTTCGAAGGCGACACCAGGTTTAGGCTTCAATATTCACACTGTCCTATGTTTAAGAGAAACAAGGCAAACAGACTGCCTTCGCAGCATCGTGGGAACAGATATTATAGTGGCTAAACTTCAAACGAAATTATAGTGAGTTTTGAGTAAACGTCTGGTATTGCCGTCGGGCCCCACTTAGCGTAACGTAGGACATGCCTAGGTCCGTTTTAAATTTAGACTTAGATCAACTCTAAGTTTAGTAGGCCACTGCGCCTCGATCATGGAAAATGAAGTATGTCAAGCGTTTTCGATTAGCAGAAAGTGATTTTCTACTGTGCGTTAGACACTTTTTTTTTCTTTCAATTATAGCATAACATATAACAGAGAACCAGAAACCGATTGGATTGGAAGTGACGATACATTTTCTAATTGTCAAATTAGAAAAAAGGACGTCTTGAGCCATATATGAAGCGCTGATGATTAATTCCAAGGTAGCAAAAGGACAGAAATAAAGATTTAGATCCGTATAGTTTGTTGTCACGATTATAGGCATCAACCATACACACACACAGAATTCGCTCTTTCTTTGTCGGTACTTGTAGCGGCCACGAAAAACTACGCCTCTTTAGTTCACCCTTCAGGTGCTCACCAGGTTAACGATAATAACGAAAATTGTTTATTAGTTAATTTGTTTATCGTGCCGTCTACCCCCTGCATTCGTATCCTCTACAAGCAATGTTATCAGAACAGTTGGTTAAACCTTGAGTGATCTTGACGGCTTGTTATCTTTAGGGATTCGTTGTGCCGAGAAATACAAAATATGAAAAAGTCTTTTCTACGTACGTTTATATGTCTGACAAAATGGATAGCAACAGTATGATACGTCGTCTCACAGTTACTTTGCGATTTGAAATAGCACTACGTAACGTTTTCTCCTCCTGTGTTTTTTTTTTTTTGTTACACGGTGCACTATAACCTGCACAAAGGGGTATTTGTCAGAGGAAAACTTCGTAACCAGTTTCAAAAAGCCAGCTCCCTGTGTGCCACTAGCCGAAATATCCGGGTGTCTATATAAGTTTACGTCATTGTTTATTCGTACCCCATCTATGTGTAACAACGACCGTAAACGAAACAGCGACACACTCTTTTGATAAGACGCTTCGTACGTTTGTTCTTGCAATTTCTTTCTCGCGTTTGATCCTAGCTAGCAAGTATCTTATCTAAGGGTGCTAAAGTTAATATTTCACCAGCTGTACTGCAGAACGATTGTTGGCGGTTTCCGCCATTGCCGAAGTCGATCCCTCTATTATGGATACGCAAAACTTCTCCGAACGTGTGGGTGAATTTAGAGTACTACGTGACGGATACAAGAATAACCTAATGTATATGTTGGCCCTTGATGCCGCGCAGCCTGTCTCTGCGTCCGAAGTCCAATGCGTGCATGTTCAAACGAGTTAGGACGCGAGAGGGTGATAGTAAGTGATAATGAGATGCGAAGCATTTTCACAATGCCAGATGTAAGCGTTTGCCGGCTGATGCAGTTTGACACTGTGGCCTTAGCAGTGCGCAAGTATCGCAGGTGGATAAATGCTCTAGCTAAAGTTTCTAGCTAGGTATTTCCCGCGGGGAACTGCGATTAATTATCTGAAATAACACAAAGAAATATGACTATGAAATCTAGCTACTTATACAGAAGACCAAGGTGGTGCAATGCAAAGCAATGGAGCCGTGCTCATTTAATTGCAAGGCACGAGTAAACACCGTAAGCTTGATAGCACATCACTATGTATGTCTAATATATGCAACCAGTACCAAATTCTGAGTACCTAAACCCAAATGTCAAGCAAGATAATTTCGAAGAAGGCTTCGAAAAAAATAGATATCGTCTGTCAATATAGCTGTTACAACCGTCTAACTTACATCGTGTCAACATGCATGCCGAATATCTAGCCTAGCATAGGCAGTAGCACCCTAAATGGTTACCAGCACCAATTGTCGTCCAGCGACTCTAGAAATCAGTGATTGTATGCCTCATCCATCAAAAAAAGTACCACAGAATTCCCGTGGTACAATTAGCTATGGATAAGCGCGGAGTCAACAAGAGATAGCTAGAAATTTTCTAGGCGTAACGAATGGTCAGAGATGTTTCCCGCTCACTGGCATATTTTATGGATACATTTATATGTTCGGCATTTAACATCGTTAGATCTGTCCTTCAATGAACATTTGATTAGTAGTATAACTACTAATGCAAGACACGTAGAGGTATGTTTAGCTACCAACAATATATGTTAGTTCAAATATCAAATTGTTTTATTACATACTTATGCTGCCCTAATGTCGTTAGCAGACTTACCGGTACTTGAACAACAGACTAGGTTGACTTTTATTTTCATGCTTAGTCCTTCTCGTTCGTGTGTCAAGCACAGACTTAGCTATATGGCCACATAAGGCTCGCTGATATACGGGGCAAGTATCAAAATTCTGAGTGGATCGATGCGCTCACTGGAAATAGAAGTAACCGGAAAACGTTTCGTTATAGGAACGCGGCGGTCACATAAAAGTTTCGACCTTCAAAATCAGCCAACGTACTTACTAAGCTCCGTTGAAAACAATCGTTGAGTGAATCACACATTGTCGGGACTGTCAGAGAGGCCTAAATGCACCGTAACCAGCAAAAACAAAGTGGCGCTTCTCCTGTACGATGCCAACCTGAAGCTTTACATTTTTCTGTCGTAGTTTTAACCTCTTAGTATGTCCCACACCGGAATGCCGCTTAGTTGTCATAACCAGCGATTTTTTTGGTATCGCTGTTTTAAAAAATGTTAATTAGTTGTATAAACATGTGATTTTTTATACGATCTTGAGTATTTGGCCTTAGAAATCTATTGTTCTCTGCTAAATTTGTTATCCTATTTTAATCTACTACAGCGATAGCAGATCAGTGAGTTGACAAGTGAGAAAAAAAAAATAGTAATGATATAAGCATTTCATGACCATTTTTTTTGGAAAAATTCGCTTTCAAAAAGTATCCGTAGATAGTTGGGTACTCTGCTATACGACTGTTTGCTATTTAGATAGTTGCTCATAATACTCGTACAGATTATTTGGCAACTTTCAAGGTAAGCCCAGAAGGAACAACGAAGATAGGGAACAGCCCCTCTGAAGAAGGCGGATTTGGGGTACGTTAGTGTTATGGACGTCCCTTTTTTCATTCAGATTTGCAGTGACTCTGTTCTTACAGATATCAAAACTAAGATTTACGTTTTCTTATTTTTTCATATACAAGCTACGCTAGAGTTCTGTTCAGGGTCAATCTTCGCGTCTTCTGCCAGTTGTTATGAGAATCATGACTAGCCAGAAACTGAATTTGTATACTCGGTTCTCTAAAGTTTGAGTTGAAAATATGATAAGCAGGGTTGATTCATGTTCCTTCTAATGGTACTTGTTAGGCCAGATCGTACAATTTTGTTCCGTCCCATCAGAGTTCAAATTTGCTTAATTCCGAGCGCGACAGTAATTGCAAAACCCTTGTCTTCTGTAAAATTTATACCGCTTCTATTTGGATCGTCTGAACTCGGTGCCCTACAATGAAATGCAATTTCTCCCCGTACATGAAATACGGGTCTATTTGTGAGCTGGGTGATTTCCTCCCACTTCTTCCTTTTCACATACGTGCAGAATCATGTTTATAAGCCTCTTCATTCAAAGCGATTTGTTCAATGTTCATAACATCGGAGGAGGCACAAACCTATAAAGCTCATATAGTACATCTTCCTACATTTTCCTTAAGCCCCGCTAGGCAGCAAATCGGAGACATTGTTTCTCTTCTGAATCGTAAAGATGCGTACGAAGGGAAGGTCACAACCACCAGAAGGGAAAAACGACTTCAGCTATGCAATGGAACGATGTAAAACAGCGGGACACCACGGGATCAAGGAGCAATTGGAGGTACGGAACACAACAGTCAGCCCGGACGTACACAGAATTTTTCTGACTGAGAAATGTGATAACCAATCTTTTTTGAGAAAAATCGACTATAACCCCCTTTATTTATTGAATTCTATAAGTGTAGCAGGGATTGGTGGAAACTGGGACGGTGGCTAGGGCGTTCGATAATGCTGGGTTGATGTCTATTTAATAGAAGCCACATCGGCACCCTGCAGTGAGGTACGGAATACAATTGAGGACGGATCGGATCGATGGACATGAGAACAGACTCAATTATTCGAAAGTTCAAAATTCATCTGCAAATTTATATAGCTTGTAATATTGCAACGGAGGGCACGCGCGTTGCTGATAGTAGCATTGTGTATGGGAGTTACAGTCCACGTCTTCTAATTCCCCAGAAAATCGTGTGCTTTTGACCAAACAGTAAGTTTAAGACCTGTGTGGCTTATCTAATTGACTGCGTAGAAGTGAAAGGATAATACTACAACATAAATGTATCTTGCCTTGTTAGTCTATCATAATCGTAGCAGTGGGCGAACGATACCGGGAGCAAGTATAAATGAATATCTAGCGTGTAAAAATTGTTCGTTATAAATAAGAGGTACTTAAGATATGTAATCTTACTTCAGACGAAAGAGGATTGACCGGACGCGGGAAAAAAATTAACTAACTAATCATTTCCTTCGTGCTGATTTATTTAACGTCGGATTTGAAATACGTAATGATCGAACTAGGTTTACGCCAGACCATTTAGCGGCTTTGTGCTAAGCGACATCTTACCATCCGGCGGTATTCAACAAGCACAATCCGAATGACATCTGTTTTGGGATCGAGCTACACTGGACGAACCTAATTCATTTGTCACGGAGCACCCGGCATAAACTGGACGCTGTTTTTTACGTGAACCGTCCACACTTGTCTGTACCTAATCACCGCGCGTTCAATCCGATTCCCGTGCATCTATACTCCACGTCGCCTCCACCCCGATATCAGTCTACGTGCTACTGGAGCGCCATTTAATACTGGAGTCTCTGTCATCATTAAGTTAATGTATCATTTCGTTTTATATTAGATTTTCGCGGCGCTCGTCTACTTTCTAGCGAAATCACCCCCAAGAAGCACGCGGCTCGCCTGATTGCTAGCAAAAATGGAAGATATGCAGTTTCATGCAAAAAAAAAGATGAACAATAGTTGATGGGGTTTCTCTAGCACAGGCGTATCAAGTAACAAAAGCAGGCTACAACAGTTACTACTTAAACGACACGTTCATCTTTGATGACTCGGTAAGCACGGACCCAACCGAAATTGAAGGGAATACCGGCTCTAACGACTGGTTGCGTTCTAAAAATGGTACCATAAACTCGTCTGGCCGCTGCTGCAACCTCAGAGGCAGCTTTCAACTAGACTTGCTTTGGTGGTCGATAAACTCTTCGATGGACCAAGTAAGGAACGAAATTGTCAGAAGAAAGGAGCAACGCTGAGAGCGCGGGGAAGGAGAGTAACAAGTAGTAGGTCAGGATGGATGAACGGAAATAGTTGCGCAGGTTGCAGATCCAACAGCTGTTGTGTTCCATTTGTTCTTCGACGATCAATCGATTTTGTGACCCAACGAATGGATGAAGAACTGCAATTAATGATACACAATTGGCTTCGAAGTCTGATGAGCCGACCCGCCTATCCTACGAAATGGCTCCGCATTGACATCGCGCCTACGTTCATTTACTAGCCGCATTTCGCGCCCACCTATTAGTTAGACCCATTAATACTAATTACCGCATGATCATATTGAGAGGGTAATAACTGAATGGCGTCGACGGCAGTGGTTAGGACAGATGAGTATGCGCAAAAGTGATAGCCAAAAGGAAAGTAAACGCCAATTGTCAAGTTACAATTGTCAAGTATAGTCTAGTACATACCTACTCACAAAAACGAGCATGCTGGTATATTTAGCAGAGCTTCCTTAAGCCTTTTCTAAAAAGACATGGTGTCTTTATGCCGGTATAAAACCGGGTCGTCAGTGTAGGCACAAACTACCAGGTGACAGTGTCTCCTGCGATAGCTTTTTGGTAAAATAAAATATATGTTGATGGAGGATTTAATAAAAATATACGGTTAATCTATGTAAGTGAATCCGTTCGGAAAATTTGCTATTGCTTAATCACAATACTACCAAGCTTGTTTAAACCAATTAAACAAAACAAATAAAGCCGACCGAAGTTTATATATTTACTAGGAGATGTTTCTTGAGACTAACTAACTTCAGTCTTAGCATGCCATGTCTACATGTAGCTTTGATAACAAAAACGTATCGATCATTCATAGCTCATAGGCGACCTAGAACATATTGGACTTGTATGAACTATTAACTAGATAGGGGTTGACAATAATTCATGTACATAAATACAAAGATGGTCAGCTCGTGTTCAGTGCAGTGTTCAGAAAGTGGGCCTCGAAGGCCACGCCAAAAAGGGTGCGCTTTTTGCGTTTGTCCAAAACGATTGCCTACAGCATAGATCGATCGTTGATGCATATTGATTAACATGTACGATTTCTATATTAAGCCGATTCGTGTCCACGAAGATCTCGTTGAATCGATTCTCTCACCTTGATTAGAAACAGCCATTCCTTCTTTGCACTATTTTCTGTTTTGTGACAGTCATCTTACCTCAGCAAACGCCCTACAAACAATATTGACGCCGAAGAAAATAGGATACGGCAGATATTGTTGTGTTGAAGATCCTATTGGCTATGTATATTGTTGATTCACCGATATGAAGATATATAAATGATTTTGGTAGACCAACAACAAGAACCGCAATATTAGACGTCACTCTCGATACGTTTTACAGCTACAAATGTCCGCCATTTGAAGCGACCTGAAGTAGGTGGCCAGCATTGATTATGAAAATCAATGATTTGTTACCGCACTCTTTAGAAACGAATGAAAATGAATTGTTACCTGGTACGCATGAGCAAACATAACATGCATAAACGTTTTAATTCAATTTATAGTTAATGAACGACAGGCCGAAATAGGGTTTGCTAGAGACAAACCTCGAAATAGCATGAGGCATACCGATAATGTCCTGATTCGAATACGGATTCGAGGCTTGTCCAAATCCGATATGTTCGCATCTCGTGGCAAACGGATAATACTGAAAAGATACAAAAGCCTTGTATAGACATCCGTTTTAAAGGTTGGTAATTGACAATTGGGTAGCTATATGGTTCTTATAAAGCATTGATTTTGACCTTTGTAAAAACTGATTTTGAATAAAACGCGTCCCGATCGTCCCTTTGTCTTAAATTATTCAGAGCCAGTCGAGGGACGGCGCTCTATATCTGACCGCTCAGCCAACTAGAGCTCGATGAATCGATAAATCATTTAAATAGCAACGTTTGATCTCTTAGATATCCTTGTCAGTTGCGCTATGCTTATGGGCAAGCGCGATAGACCTTACTTGCACGGCGATCTCGCGTCGCCTTTTCTAGGTATCAGGGAATAGCAGCCATAACTAACTGGGTAAATAGTTCAATGAACCTAACGACAAAGCAGACCTGAAGTAACAGCTTGCGTTTTTAGACCTAGGCCGTGTTGTTGCAGTAAACACTGCCAGTACGATTGCATTCTTCGTGCGTTACGCGTTCTCTGTTAAGGAACCAATTTGTAGCACTTCGTTTGAAAGCTCTCCTAGAGCAACAAAATACACGTTGACTCAGTAAATGAAATTGTTTTACTATCGTACCGTATTGGCAAATGGGAACACTAACAACAAAAAATATATATTCTAAAAGCTCTTCCGTGCCACTGCGTAAATTTAAAACGTATTTATCTTCTATTAGGGATAGGCATTACATCGAGCGAGCCTTAGCTGGATTTTGTCTTATTTATAAAATGGCGTGGCAGTGCCACGCTTCACCAGCCATTTCCCGTCGCTGAAATTCGAACCAATGATGTGCACGGCTTGATGGTTACTCTAACAGCGCACCGCCCATCCAGGCCCAGCCAGTTTTTATTACATCGTACGTACCGTGCCGGGGAAAGATTCAGCCTCCTTTTTTCATGTTACTGATCTATATTAGATTACAAGGGAGAAGTGGGAAATATTGGCATATCTCCTGGGTAAAAACCACCGTAGTACAATATATAGATGATGAGAACTAATCAAGCCACGTAGACATGGCAGAAAAAGTAAATTCGTTTTGAAGTGAAATATGTGTTGAGCAATTTCTCAAAAGCGTTGAAGAATACAACGTTGATATCATCAACATAACACAATAAATACGATCACAATATAATAAATCCGCTTCGTAGCAGTTAATTAAACAGCACACGATTTTTCTGCAGCACAAAGACGAGCCCACGGAAAATCATTAAAATAATTAACGTTAAGCATAATTCATAGACGTGATGGCCAAAGCTGGGAGTTCTAGGAATCCCAAAACTGGGTAATTGCTAAGAACAGCTAAGTAGTTATTCGACTTGTTAGTTCTCGAGATTTATTCAGCTTTGTATCTTGTTTTTTACGCGTCGCGGTAATTAAATCTAGGTAAATTTGATGAGCAAATTTCTCAAATTAGGGTTCTTGCCCAAAACTTAGAATGGGCGGTGGTAGCTTGATCTGAAACCCTTCATCACAAGCGCCTTTGGAAATTGCTGTAGTTCACAATTTGGTAGTGACGATGGCGAACGACTGAACGCTGATACAGGGTTAGCTTCGGCTAAGACTCAGCTACTCGTTCCATACAACGCTGCTTCTACAGAGACGCACTACCTACTACCTTTGGTGTTTTATCGTAATCCAATAACAAGGTTAAAGCATACGATTGCCTATATATATGTACTCCACATGTTAAACAAGACTATCACGCTTTTTGCTCCAGCTAGATAGGAACTGAACGCATCGCCATTTGCTGCTGATAGTTAGTCATATTATACGTAGCGGCGATTCATTTCGATCTAGAGGAGATAAAGATCGAATCCGCAATTCGGTGTTAGTTGATTGGCAGGTACGAGCCTCGTGCGCTCGCTGATACATGAATTTTTATTACTATTCTCATGTACCCTGTATATCTTTTGTATGCAGCGGCGTGTTTTCTTTGTGTTTCCTCAGAGTTAGTGGTACTCAAAGGGGAATCCCAGCAGCAATACCGGTGGCAGTCAAGCGATGCCAATGCCTGTGCTTTCGAAGCGCAAGTCCAAACCTCGATGAAAAGCAAAGGATCAGAGTAGGAAAAACATCGTTCATGTTTATAGTCTCTGCTATGGCATATCTTCTCTACCAGGGTGCCAGATGCGGTAGGCTGGGCGGCAGTCAGCGCACTGGAAGACTGCATCCCGTTTTCTCTCCCTCTCTCTGTTCTTCTATTTACCCCCTATCCTGTTCGCCCTGATAGACAAACCCTTTCACGTTATTACATCATCATTATCTCCACTATAAACTTATTATTTGCACAACAGTCGTATCCTACATATTTTTAGGCTTTACGTTTTACTTTACCCAGCACCGGTTAGGGTAGCAAAGGCCGTGGTTCCGGCCGGTGAAAAGCCGGGTGGGTGATTGGCTGACGCCATCCAAACCTTCGAGACCTGAAACGCTCTGAGCTGCCTCAGCATTAATGATAAAGACAAACAGAAGCAGCTGTAGCAGCCTATTCCCCATTCCGCCTTAGGGGTCTTCTGTTTTACAGCTAGGTTGTATATTCGAACACTGTCTTTTACGTGATTGCTCGGTCGTTTGGGGAAGTCTCTTGGCTAGCCGACGTTAGTGGCAGCACCGAGTAACTTCTGGAATGCTTTCACTCGGTACGTACTCCCTGCAGGAAGCACTTTCTAGAGCTCCTATCACACTACGTACGATTCTTGTGAGTGTATGTTCGTGTGGTACGCAGCACCTATCGTGCTGTCCTATGTTCTGCTGCAAGGTCTTCCGCTATCGGCTGGGCAATAGCATGGCTTTGGTTGGAAACTGTCAGCGCAGTGAGTGGGAAACTCAGCCAACTAAACAGGCTGGCAGTAACATAAGCTCGAGTAGGCCACGGTGAACGCCCGGGGGCATCGGGATTCGACAAGCAAACAAAAAAGATTGGAAAGGATCTGGCGCTGCTGGCGGTCGGGGCCTGTTGTCCACAAGAATCTGTAGAATCAAGGGACCTGACAGCGACAAGAAGCTTCGATGGGTTCCGATGAGCGTGCCTTTTTTGCGTGCCTTCTTTCTATGAACAGTGCCTCCTGCTTTGACGAGTGAACAGTGGCAATGGAAGGAACTTTCTAAAAATATGGCGGACATTAATTAACTATATATGTAACTGCAATGGGTCAGCAACTGGCAGTGTTACAACGAATGTTCGCGATAACCCGAAATCTTCTTGCTTGGCGAGTT